GTTTTTACTCTAACATCCACTTGTTGATGTTGTCTCTATCCTCTACCATTTTCTTATCTCACTGCATTTTCTGGACTACCTCATTAATTGCATTAATTGCTTAAATGAACATGACACTTCTAGAGGCTTCTAAACTTATATATCAAATGAAGACATCTAGATTAAATTGCAGATTTGCAAGCACATTCATTTATTTAAAAAAAAATAAAAATGAATTCTGTCTGCCAGAAATGCCTCTGGTTGCTGATTCAAGGCCCACTGGCAAAAGACTCAGTGTGTTGTGTGTACTGCTGTGCTCACACCACTTACAATTTCCACATAAATGATTCACAAACATATGAACCTCAGTGTGTCCGAATACGAATTATTATATTGCCTTGAAAATCTGTCCTTCATCCTTTGGCCCATATCTTAGTGAATGGCACTTCCATGCTTCAAAATCCAAGTTAGAATCATCTTCCTTACCCTACACATCAGACTCATGAAAACTATAAGCTAATTCTACCTCCTTGACACTTCTTTTGTGCTTAACATTTCTCTAATTAAATCCTTCTTTCTCTTCCCTACTGTTCCTAGAACATGTCATGGCACATATGGATAATGAAGAATTTGTTGTAGAATGGATTCATGGAAAAAGAATGAAAGAATGAATGGAAAATGAGGACAATTGCAATTGCCTATTGACAGATCATATTGACTTCATTTTGTACCCTTCAATCCAAGACAAACCTTTCCAAAATTCATTGACAATTTACTTCCCCACTTACTACCATTTGGTGACTATTACTGCCTGCAAGATATAAACCAGACTCCACAGGTAACATCTAAGGCTATCCAAGGTCACCAAAACCAAACCAAACCCACTGATAGAGTTGATTCCAACTCAGGGTGGTGTCCTAGATGGCTTTTGAGACTATACATCTTTATAGGAGCAGACGACCTCATTTCTCTCCCTCAGCACATGTGGTGGATTTGACCTGTCAGGTATTAGTCCCAGGTTACATGCATGTTTTTTGCTGTACCCTCTTTTGATTGCTGCTGTCCTCATCCTGAAGACACTTAACAGTACTTAAAATTATTGTTCTACTTCATAGTCCCATACCTATCCTCTAGCTGTTTCTCTACTAAATTTGTTCAACACCCTGTACTTTGCTCTCCTGAATATTAGCTGCTGATCTGTCAAAGCCTCACTTGCCTCACTTCCTCTTTGAAACCTAGGCTGACCCCTCTGCCCTCATTTCCCTCCCTTCTTTCTCCTTTCCCATGGGACTTTGTACATATCTCTATAAAGGCACTTATAATATTGTTTCACATTAATATTTTCACACACTTGCAGCAATTCCAAACGGAGGTGTTTTTCACTTCTTGAGAGTGGAGGCCTTTGTCTTATTAATTTGGAAATTACAGGCAATAGTGCACTGGTGGCCCTGTAGGATAAGCACTGGACTGCTAACTACAAGGTTGGCAGTTCAAACCCAAAAACTATTTCATGTGAGAAAGACGAGGGCTTTCTGCCCCCACAAAGATTTACACCCTATACAGGGTTGCCATGAGCTGGAACTGACCCAACAGTGACTAACAACAACAACAACAACAACTGGCAACAATGCAGACTACGGCACGTACAAGAATGAAGTACAAGAATGCTCCTTGGAAGCAACAATGGTGAGATTTCATCTCACACACTTTGAACATGAGGAACCAGTCCCTGGAAGGACATCATGCTTGCTAAAGCGTAGGTCAGAGAAAGGACTCAACTAGATGGACTGGCACAGTGGCTGCAACAATGGGTTCAGATACAGGAATGATGGTGAGAATGCAGCAGGAGTGGAAAGTGTTTTGTTTTGTTGTGCATAGGGTCACTATGAGTCAGAGCTGACGCAAAAGCACCTAACGACAACAAGGTAATGATGGATAGCTGAACGAATGAACAAATTATGGAGGATTATAGAATGATTTTAGGCAAGTGAATTACATGACAAGATTTGTATTTTAGGAAAAACACTGTGGTATCAGACTGGAGAGCTGGAAAGCTATGTACAAACATCAGAAGATCAGGCAGGGAAATACTATAAATCTTCCAGTGGAGCATTTACAAAACAAAGTAGTATCACGGATGAAGAAAGGATACATAGGTATCTAGTAAATTCTAAAGAACAGCAGTAATGGCATACACTTTTCCAATCTCCAATAATTTATAAATATTAGAATGAAGTATATAAAGTAGGCTACTACCTCTTGCCAGCTATCACATTAGTAGGCTGAGATATGTAATTTTTTAAACCACACTTTATACCAGTAATATCATTATAATAATGTTTTTGCCTATTTTACAGAAAATTGTCTTTACATGAAACATGACACTAAAGATACTTTTTTTCTTGGCAGTAAAAATACTGGTCCACCAAGTAACTCCATCCCTGAAGTACCTCATTAATCACAGTGCGCTTGTTCTTGGCAAGAACCTTAATGTGCTACAGAAACGGTTATTAAAGCAAGATTTGAGGATTCCCAGGTTGGCAAGGAATTAGTTAGTTGCACCTCTCTAGAAATTGTTTGTTTATAATTTATTTTATTATTAATGTGCATGTTATACCTATAGATCAAGGCAACTTCCCTTTTATTAATCTAATGTATAAAGTCCAGTTATTTTAAAACTTATTTAATATCACAAGTAGCGGTTGGCAAAGATTGCCTCTTTCTCCAAAGTCTGCTGTAGCTACAAACCCCCTTCCCCTAAAACGATACTATCCATTCCCTTATTTGTGCTAATGTGGCTCTAGCACTCCTATCGAATTGTACAGGCATTACAGTTTCAGACTCTAGACATGTGTAATGCAAACATTCAGAGTAACAATATTGAATTAACAAGTATATCTTTCCTTTTTATTACTAAAGAGACTGCTAGATGGATTTTAAAAATCCAGTGAGTAGAGAATTATCTAAACTTGAATCTTTTGAAAACTCAGTTATCAAAATTTAATAATTCTTTAAGATCATAAAAAGTTATTTAGACACAGTTTGAATCAAAGATGTCAAGTTTCAAGAAATTGCCATTCATTTTCAAATACAAAAACGTAAAGATATACAATATGTAGGCTAACCAAAGTTTACTTTAACTCCTCTGGATACATAATGCATAATTTTCCAAAAATGAAAAGCCTTAAAAGGCATATTGTAAATTCAAAGCTATCAACTATTCTGAGCATACTTTTGCCGAAACAAAATAGTAAGCATTATCTGTACAGTACATATTTGCTCCAAAACTGAACACAGATCATTACTGCTGTTATTAATGCATTCTTACAGCTGAAAATAATTTATCAGAGTCATTACCTAATAAGAGTATATCCACTCAATGGGATGAACATAAAATGTACCAGAAGTATTTCTGTTTATCATTTATTATAGTAACAACATCCAAATCGATGTGAATGTTACATATAATAATAAAAAAAGTTGTGTCGCTTGATGCAATAATGATGCAATATGTTTTCCTGTGTACACTGTCAAATGGATAATTGGCTGGAATATCCTACCTAATGCTACAGGTTCACATCAATTTGAGAAAGTAAAAATTTCCAAACACCAGAGACCCACAATTGTAGATTACATCAATTTCCTGACTCTTAAATGTATCTGCAATAGTTTGCTGTGTAATTTTTCAGAACCACATTTGCTGCTTCCTACGTGGTCAAATTCCAGGTTCCTCTAATACTACAGCAATCCCTTCACCCATGTATTTAAAAAACTGTTTCTGACGTGGATGCCATCAGTGGTGGGAGTTACGTTTGGATGGTAGACCTCATTTCAAAAACAAACCTAGTTTGTGTTCAAAATCTATTTCACTAAGAAACAAAGAATGTTATCAGTCAGTGCCTGCAACTCTCTCCTGGTTCCCTAAGGCTAATACTTTACAGTCCATTTTAACATATAGAAGCAGAAATTTAAAAAGGAGAGGAAAACAGGTAAGAAAAGATAAGAAAGATGACTTTAAGCAAAAACGTATAAAAACAACCTTAAAATGTCAGAAAATCCTAACTCTAGCAGGAGGCTGTATAAAGGGACGTTGTGGGAAAAACAGTAGTAAACTTTAAAGCCATTGAAAGGTTTTTAATGCCTAAGGGAAAAATAAACATTTGCTTCCAATCATTTTCTCATTAAACATTCTCTGCTAGATGGCAAGGGCTTACTTATACTCACACTTTGACTCAGCACCACAACTGCCTACTTAACCCACTGCATGAACTCTGTCAAAGACGTTCCATTTGCGCATCAGCTATCGCACATTGGCCCGCGCTCCTGCGCCCCTCTCTCCCCTCTAACCACCCCGCCACAATGCAGAAGCACAGCGTCTCCAGGCCCTGCTCGCCTCTGGTAGACCTCGTCCACCTTTTCTGTGTTGTGGCAGGAAGGGTTATATGCACTGACAGATTTTCCGTTGGTGGTGGTTGAGTTGGTGACGAGGCGTGTTTCCGGGCGCACTTAAGATCTAGTTGCTTTCTCCAACAAGTAGCAACTTCACCAGCTCCACCCCCAGGACTGGGGACACAACTCTATGTTTCTCTTCTCTCCACCTCTTCCTACCCCCATCACCTCCCAACCTCTCCAATACACCCTCAAACGCCTCACTCAGGCGCACGTCATCCTTTTGCATTTCTCAGCTCCCGGGCGCCCCGCTCGGGTGAAGTTTAAGTATCTTGGGACCTAATCGCTCCCTATTATCCGCGCCTCCGAAGGCAAGCGCCTGCCGGACTCTAGCCCACAGTGCCTGGACTATACTGAGTGTTCTCTGTGTAGAGGCCAGCGAGGTGAGGCTGGGGGACGATCCAGGAGGAAGACCACAAACACGTGCAAAGAAATAAAAGCCACCACGTGCGCCCGTGTGTGAGTGTGTGTGTGCTCGCGCGGGTGTGGAGCGTGCCCCAAGGGGCCAGGCGCACAAGCCCCCAGCCCGATGCGGGCGTGGCTGGGGATATCATTGGGGCGCGGGTACTCACACGAACGCGTGGTAGATGAACGCCCAGCCTCTGGGTCTCTCCAACACGTTGTACAGATAATTCTGCACCCGCCGGTACTTGACGTTGCGACGGCAGCTCTGGCTACTGGTGTACGAGAGCGGTTTCCCCAACAGGCTCATCCGGGCACCCTGTTTGCCCCGGCGGCTCTCTCTCAGGCCGCCGCCGCCGAGCGCGGCCGCACGGGTGCCCAGCAACAGCAGGCCGTCGCCCCTGGCGGCCGCGGAGTTCAGCAGCACCCTGCCCCGGCCCGACTCCACATCCTTCATGCCGCTGCCCAGGCGCCCCCCGCTCGCCGCCGCCACCGCCGCTCCGCTCTTCACCCAGAGCCCAGCGGCGCCGCCCTCCTCTCCTCCCGCGTGGTGGCGGGGCATGGCATCACCACCGGCACCGCGAGGGGGGCGCCAGTGCCTGCGGCGGGGGCAGCGGCCTCATGCACGCCAGCGAGTTGCGAAGAGGAAGCCAGCGGCGGACGGGGCGCCCGCCCGCCTGCCCGCCCGCGACCTCCGGAGCCAGGGGCGGGGAAGCAGTCAGCCAGCAAACCCGCAGGCCCTCGGGGCGGGGGCTGGGGGTGAGCAGAGGAGGCAGAAGCGTCCCAATTTCTAGCAGCCTTTAGCCTCCAATTCGAAATCCAAACCTGTTTGGGAGTCACTTTGAGAGGTTTTCCTTGGTTCTCTCTGATTCCTGAGACTACCTCTCTCTCCTCCCCGAAGTGCCCCCAGGCTGAGCACAGGAGTGCGGGGCGCACCGAGGCGCGCTCCCACGCGCGCACACCCAGTCCAGGCTCCCCCTTTTTTCTCGCGCTCCGCACGCCCAGATTGTGTTTGCCCTCCACCCCACCACAGCAGGGAATGAGGCTTCAAAGCTCCTCTGAGTGTAAGTTTCGTTTGGTTCTCTTAGGGGGCTAAGGATTGCAAGGTTAAGTCAGCCAGGTGCCAGAGGAGGAACTAGAGACACAGGTCGCTGAGCTCTCCTGCTGCTACGTCGCGCCTCCAGGTCCTGCCATCCTTCCACAAGGAGTATGAGCGGGAACAGTCCTGCCCTGCTCTGCCCTCTAGGTACCAGCCAGTCCTCGAGTGGATGCTCAGGCGACGCTCTCAGTAGTGGCGCTCAGGACCCCGCGCATCCGAGGATCCCTTTACACTTCAGTGTGCAGATCCGCAGGACGAGACTGCTGAGCCCACAATGGGGGGACCAGGCATCTTCCCGTGGCTTACTCCAGCCTGCAAACTATGACTTTCCATCCCAGTATCAGACAGCCTGCGAGTAAATGTACATCGTTCCCAGACCAGAGGGAAACTGGATTGTGGGGAAGGTGTAAAACCCCCGAAATGGCTCTTTGGTGATGAGCAAGCTGCCGCCCCGCCCCCACCCAGCTCCTCCTTACAGCGCTGAAAAATCAGTGGAGCATCTCTCCCACAAAGGAGGAACCCTCTGTCAAAAAATTTCCCTGTAGTCGGAGATAGCTATTAAACCACTATATCTCAGTAGGTATAGGCGCCCCAGCGCCTGAAAGAACAGTCGTGGAAGGTGGGGACTTCTGGATGCAGGCTTTAGACGTCCTCACTCCCCTTAACCTCACTCCCATGCTGTAACTTTCTGGGTTAGAGATGTGTGGTGAGGAGCGACTGTGGCTGGGGCTCCTCTAGCCCTGTCATTCGGGCTGCCAAAAGCTCTCACCCTTGACCTGGAGGGAGGCCTCTGTCCCTCCAAGCTGTGGCCTTTGTGGTCTTCAGAAATAATATATTATAACGAATAACAAGTCAAACATCACAATTGCCGTGAGAACTACTTCCAACAGAGCTCACACACACACCCAACATATTAAAGTTAAACTGAAGGGAGAGCTAAGTTTCTGCCACAAAGCCATAGCAGATAGTAGAAAGGTGGTGCTTCTGTGTGCTTAGTTTTTCTTTCCGTAGCCTAAACCCGAGACAAGAATTCGGCAAAAAATCTATTGCAGCGTGCCTTATCCATACATCTACACCTGCGGCGGTGGTTTTCTGCCTTGGCCAATACTCAATTTAAATGCTTTATTTATTTATTTTATTATTGTGGCTATTGGTTGTGCGAAGCCCTTTCACTGGTTCCTGGCCGCTGGCAGGACCTTTCTTCCCTCCGTCCCTTCCTACAGCCTTCTCTGGCGGGCAACCGCTCACAGCTGGCAGCTAGACCATGTGACTGTGCACCAAGCACCAATACCCAGAGTCACTCTCGCTTTCCTCTAATACACTTCACACCCACGCACTGTGGAGGTGCGAGAGAGAATGCTCCGTGCCCTGCTATTCGAGGCAGATGCAGAGAGCACCCTGGAACAAACTCTCCAATCCAGGAGCTGCCTGGGACCCGTGCTGGGGGCGGGGGGAGTTTGTTGTTGCTATATTTAGAGTCCCCGCACAGGGACTTTCAGGGTGAAAGATCTAGACACTTAAAATGACTCGCGAGCACTCTTTAAAGTTGAAAAACTCTGCTTTTCTGCAGGCAGTAAAATGAAAATCACTTCCTCTTAACCAAGACGTTTTCTGTCTTGCAGAGTTCAGGCACCATTGGCTAGGTCAGGACACTTCCACCTGCTGGCCCGGTTGGATCCCTTGTGCATGAAGAAAGTGTTGGAAAGGCAGAATACAGCAACATGTTTTTCCATGAAAAAAAAAAAGAAGTGAGTTACTTTATTTCTAAATGACGCTTTCCTCGGAGAGCATCAATAATATTAGTGAAACTGTGATGTTGACTAAGCAAATGACGTTGAACTTAAACAAACAAAAATCAGATACAGTGATGAGTATCCGTTTAGACCTGTAAAGGATCTTTGAAGTCATCTAATCTAGGGTTACCTTCGGTAACAAAGCCCTGAGAAGGGGATCACTCAAGTTTTCACAAGTAGTATGAGGGTTTCTAGGAACCCAATCACCTTGCCTCTCTCTCAGTGCAGTATTCCTTCCACCCTATAGTGGGCATCTCCATCAGAGAATTTACAGACAGCACAAAGTTTTACTCCAATGGCTGTGTTTACTGCCATTCACAAGGGCTGATTAGCCGCCAGCACTAACCATTCTGCCCCTTTATGCAGGGAATGTATTGTATGCAAGTGAAAGAAAGTCCAAGTAAAACTCTCTGTATGTACCTGGCTTCCTTTACCTGGCCAACTTTCCTTTAAAGATAGAAATTAACTTTGGGGGAAATAAAGAGTTATTAAGCTTTGTGTTGTTGTTCCTTTGAATATGGATGTTGCCAGAAAACCATCTTTTATTGGTTCTTTTTCTAGAATATTGAAACCCAAACTCAGAAGAGGGGTAGTCATATTGAACAAAGAATATTGAAAATAGGATGAAACAATATAGTATAGATTCTGAACATGATCATTACATCAGAGCATTGTGAAGAGATAAAGGTCAATAACAACTGATTTTTTCAAATGAAAATGTTTATTCCCACTATAGAGCATGTGAGTTGATTGGTCCTCATCATCCTTTGGGATGGAATTGTGTTCAACCATTCATTCTCTACACATATTATAAGATACCTGCCTGAAATTTATGACCTTGGAGACTTTTATTCTCTGAAGTCCACACAAAGATGGTTTCTACTGAAAATAATCACTAGAAAGGCTTAATTTTGATCTGTTTTCAATACCATAATATTTCTCTCCTGAGAGGTACTCTGAAATAGTGATATTGAAAATTGTATAGAAGAACTACAGATGAACAAGAGACTTTCCACACCCACTACAGAGGCAGAGTATTTCAATCTAGAGTGATTTTTACCAAATATCAATGACTCTGTTACTTTCTTCCTTTTTTTCTCCATACCTCACCATTTCTAAGTTGCCTAAACTCACAATCAAGTCATGCTCATGGTTCTGTCAAAGAATAAAATAGACTGCTCTGTAAAAACAAAATAAAATATTTTTTGAGGATAAAAATACACTAAACCAGAAAACACAAGATATAAAACGAAAGTAGTATGTGTTCCAACATTTTGAGGGGGGAGGAGAGCTTCAAGATAGAGAAGTGAAGAAGAGAGGATACAACCGCAATCATGGTGGCTTGGGACTATCTATAGTCATAAGACAACAGCAAACTAAAATTCCACAAGTGTTTGTTGTTAAGTGTTGTTGAGGCGCTTCTGACCCCTAGTGAACCTGTGGGTTTCCAAGGAGCAGCTGGTGAGTTTGAACCACCAACGTTGTGATGTAAACCAACTTTGCAGTCCAGCTCATTAACCCACAGTACCACACACCAGGACTCCACAAGTTAAAATTCTACAAGGTTAGTTGATTGGTTTTCTAATAGACTTCTTGGAGCCACCCTAGCAAAAAACTTTTCTGAAATATCTACATATACATTCTTTCTGTGACAAGCTGCACAAACATTTTCTGAATCCATCTTAACCAACATTTTTCTGACAAATGTTTTTTCACAAAGCTTCCTTTGTTTGCTAAGAGTCAAAGGTATACAAGAAATTACATGCCCTTAAGGTTCTAAATCATAGGTTATATTCTTAGCAAAGCAGAAAGGATGACACAGGACAAGTCAAAGTTTAATTAAAGATGGAGTTCAGCTTACAGCTCAGTTATGCCAACTACCTCAGTTTTCTAATTCTCCTTTTAATCAAGAATTTACATCCACTATTAATCAAGAATTTCTTTAGATGTTCGCTGATCAGCATTAGGATTAAAAGATGTTATTAGGAGGGACCAGTCCCTGGAGAAAGACATGCTAGGAGGGTCAGAGAAAATGAGGAAGATCTCAAAGAGATGGATTGACACAGTGGCTTTAGCAATGAGCTCAAACATAGTAAAAATTGTGAGGCTGGCACAGAACCAGGCAGTGTTTTCTTCTGTTGTGCCTAGATTCGCTATGAGTCCAAATTGATTTGAAAGCACTTAAAAACAACAACAATTAAAAGAGTGTTTTATTCTGTTCTTAGATGGTTATTTGTTGTTACAAAATTTTTAAGACTCCAAACATTACTCATTAAAATAGCTGGACACCATTGAGTCTTTTAAAATAGCTAGGCACCATCTAAATTGCCAGTACTAGCTACTTACTAGATCAATTTAACAAGAACATTGCTTTTCCAAGTGTCAGTGAAAATTAGAAAAAGTAGCAAGAGAGAACTTTAAAAGGGTTTCATAATGAGGGAAGACTATTCAAAAACCAAATAACATGGCAAAACTAAACAAAAACAGGTATAATAATGCAAGTTCTTTTTGTCACCTGCAATAGAAGGTAAAAATCTTTTACCAGAGGAGACTGTAGCAATAAAGGAGAGCTAAAAACATAAGGATAGTCAAAATTATGAAGCTGAGTCCAAAAACGTCAGAAAGCTGCATGAAGCCTGATTCCATGATCTTGGGAATTGATCTCTATTTCTGAAATCATCTGTTTCTGTCAGGGTGTTTGAAGGGAAATTCCAAATCTCCTATGGCTGCACAGTCCAAAAGAGGTGGTTTTGCTTGTTTAAACTGTAACAAGTGGATCCAAGGTTTGACTCCTAGTTTTGCTTCACAGGGGTTGCTCATTGCCATTGAGTTCTTTCAACTGTGACCCCATGCTACCATGAGTGAAATGATAGCAGTGCCTGGTCCCGTGCCATCCTCACAATATTCCTGTGCTTGAGATTGTTGTTGCAACCACCATGCCAACACAGCTGATTGAGAGTCTTCTTTTTCATAATGTCCTCTACAGAGATTGGTCTCTTCTGAAAACATATCCAAAGTA